GGCTGCTGTGTATTCAGCCGTTGGCTGCTGTGTATTCGCACATTTGTGCATTTTGATTTATAAAACTTTCTATCGTTTCGGGAAAAAAAATCTATACTTATATAATAAGGGGTACCATTTACTAAATTTAGTAAGTTGAAAAGTCAATGCAATAAATGCATTACTATTTTGAACAACATAATATAATATCATATAATTTTTTTCGAATTCAAAATCTGCATTTATTTAGAAATCTAACGGGCGCGTTATGAGTGTTTAATCTTTTTCAAAAATCTTCTTCCCAAAATAAAACAGATTTCACGCGAACAGATGTTTGGAATATTTTTTTTTAAATCTTCTACCCAAATTAAAACAGATTTCACTTATGCAGTTGATTGGAATTTTTTTTAAGCAATTACAAAGTATATAAGAAGAGATTCTTATCTGATTTGTTACTACAGATAATGATGTGGTCTAATTTGTTGGTACAGATAATTGTGATTGTGTCGAATTTTTTTAAAAAATAATCTATAAATTATAGAAATTATTTTTTGGTCTGATTTTTTACAACAGATAATTATCAAATCTGATTTGTTACTAAAGATAATGATCTGAACTATTTTCACGCGTTATCCAAATTCTTTAAAAGCAATTCAACGATGCAATTTAAATTACAAATCTTCAAACACTGAATCAACGATTCTCACTCCTTCGACCTCCTGCGAAAAACCAAAAAACAAATCAAACAATGAATCAATGATAAAAATATGATTGGGCTAATTTTTTAATTAAACAAATGAAAGACTTGTACGAAACCAAAATAGCAAAACAACATAGGTTAAAAACAAAAACAACTAAAAATAAATAAATTAATACTATTTATCAACACAGATGCAAAAAACGGATGGTTTTGGAAGTCTTTCAGTATATCTCTTTCATATGTACAGAATTTTTGAACAAAATGAACTAGAACTTAAAAAAAAAAAAAGAAATACAAATAATACTCGAGTGCAGATCGTAGTAATCTCAACAAAAAAAATTCGAACATGGTTAAAACAGATCGATTATCAGTTTAGCATATATTTCGATCGACAGAATTAGTTATCCCGTGATAAAACTTAAAATAACATAAAAACAAAACTAAATAAACTAAAAAAACATATCAGTTCATACAATTTATTAAACAAATAAAAGAAAACAAACGGTTTTTGAAGTCTTTCAGTAGATCTCTTTCGGATTTATATTTTTTTATAGCAAAATCAACTAGATCTGAAAAAATAAGAAAAACGCAAATAAGTATCGAGTGCAGATCGTATTAAGATCGACTAAAAAAAATCGAAAATGCCAAAAAAATAACGATTATTAGTTTATCAGTAGATTTCGATCAAAAAACTCAGGTATCCCGTGAAAAAAAATAAGACAAAACAGGAATCGGGTTTTCAATAGAGGCTAATCATAAAAAAAAAATCGAATAACCATAGATCCACCCATTTCTTCACTCAATCTCTAACATATTATCGATTTGACGATAATTTTACTTGCAAAACCATAACCGATGGCAGAGCAAATGTTAGAGAATGTTAGAGAGAGTGAGGCGGTGAATGAGTGAAAACCCTGGTTTTTTGGGTTTTTTTTCCTTTTATATCCCAAATGCTCAATTTTGGACCGTGGGATTTTGTTTTGATTTTCTGAACGTCCGATCAATAATTGAAATATGGACCGTACTTATGCTTTTATTTGGGTCAAATTTTCAGATACAAAAAACCAAACTGCACGGGCCCGATCTGTAGGTTACTGGCCCAATAACATTAATGAATTTATTGGGCCTTATTCATTTTTTAATTTGGGCTTTATTAATTACAATATAGGTAATTTTAATGCTTTGTAGATTTGTACATGTATGTTATATTTTCACGCATTGTTTTATTTAATATTTGTACGTTATATATAGATATATAAAATTAAATAAATATTAATATATATTAATCAAAAATTTTCAAATGTTTGAGGTCAATTGTTTGTAATTTTAAAAAAAATAAACTGAAATATTTTTTTACTTGTAGGAAACGAAAGTAATAGTCATCTTGTACTTATGTGTACTTCACATTCAAATATTCAAACAAGACGCGATGTTTTCCAGTCTTCACAAAATACGCCGCTATCTAATATCACTAATGGTAACTACATATAACAAATTGAAATAACTTTATTTATTTATAAATTTACATATATTCTTTTTTTCTTATTTCTTTTCACTTTTGATTGCAGTTTTCGGAGCTACGGAATCATGCATGAGAACGAATAATATATATTCCAATGTTTGGAGTATGATTTATTTTTTACAATTACAAAATAATGCTTATCTATACTTATATAATAAGGTGTACCATTTACGAAATTTAGTAAGTTGAAAAGTCAATGCAATAAATGCATTACTATTTTGAACAATATAATATAATATCATATCTATACTTATATAAAAGGAGATTCTATTTACTACATTTTTTATCCAGAAAAGTCAACTGCATTAAATGCCATTACTATTTTGGTATTATAATATTTTATTTATTTAATTGATTTATTTATTTGTTTTATTTTAAAAAAGTAAGTATAATAAAAAGATTTTAATAATAAAAAAATCAAATACCAAATAAAAATGTACACTTTGACTTATTTGATTATATTTGGTATTTGATTATACCGTATATATTCCTATTTAGTATATACATTAAATACTTACTAAAGTATTTATTTGTTTTATTTGTCAAAGTTAAGTATAGATTTGTTTATATTATCAAATCATAAAAAAATATTAAATCCATATTGTAAAAAAAAAAATCAAATAATAAAAAAATTAATTTTTGCTATATTTTAGAATATCTTTAAATCATTATAAAAAAAAAAAAAAATACAATGAAAAAAGCAAGTCAGCTATATATCGATTTGTTGTACTCCTCAAATCACATTCACAACTTGGCTACAAGCAAATGAAACTTATTGATTAAAATATTATTTTGTCAGTATTCTTAATGTACAAGAGACTTTAAAACTCCACTTGAATATTATAAAACTTTTATTGAACATTGTACAATTCTCTTGCGTATTATAAACTTTTATTGAATATTGCATCTTATAATATAATATTCTCCAAATAAATATATCTCATGCTTCGCACGGGTCACGTACTATATATATCCCGTACATTTTCTTTATTCATGTATGTAATTATAAGCCTGGATAAATAGCCTTAAAATTGTACACCCCGTGCATCGCACGGGCTCTGTACTAGTCTATAATTAATGAACAAATTACCCCCTGCACGTCTCCAATCCACCTTAACGCCTAATTAACGAATATTAATTTTCTTATTCCCCATTAACGATATTCAATACAATAGTACGAGAACAATTTTTATACAATTCCAGAAAAGTGATATTTGACCTCTCAATTAGCATTTAAAGCATTTAATGTGATTGATCAATTAATTAAAGCATTAAATGAATAAAAAAGGCAACAATATCATTGGTGGGACATGTGGCCGAACGGTGCTCTTAAGATCTCAATTCTCAAAACAATCGAAGTCTTGTAATTTGGCACAAAGTTCATTAAACCCCATTTTTCAAAAACACTATTCAGCTTTTCGCAAAATTCTCTCTGATATGTATATTTGAAGTTCATGTAATATCCAAATTATATATGTTCATTTTTTCAATATGCAAAACGCAATGGGTAGTTTTTTGGTTATTTTTCATACAAATATGGTATTGAGTAAACTTGTTATATGTCTAAGTTTACCAATGAATGTTTATAAAAAGATTATTTTTTAAGTTGAACAAAAAACCTCATTTAAAAACGAAAATTTTATCACCTGTTGTCTAATTATTTTTTAAGTTGAACAATAAACCTCATTTAAAAAACGAAAATTTTATCACCTGTTGTCTAATTAACAATAAACCTCATTTAAAAAACGAAAATTTTATAACCTGTTGTCTAATTATTTTTTAAGTTGAACAATAAACCTCATTTAAAAAACGAAAATTTTATCACCTGTTGTCTAATAGTTCATGCCCATATTAATTATTTTATTCTATGTTTTTTTTTGATATAGCATGTTGATTCGGCAGATATATTACAGGATTGCAGCTGCGATTGTTATTTCCATTTTATGCAGATTCTCTAGTTTTGTAGTAGGAATTTTATGTATAGCACAATTTTGGGATTAAAGTTTTTATCTCGTTATTAAGGAAATGGTGCAAGTTAGCGACGTATATACGTCTTTCAACATAATTAATAGACATAATTACTTTATATAGGATTATAAAAACAATAAGCCCTCTTAACAAACTTTTAAAAACTGTTAAATTGGGTTCGAAACAATTACTTTCGGGATATTTACTATTTTTTTAGCATATTGGGCCGTAAAATAAAATTGTTAACAGGCCCAATATTTTTTTTTCGGGCCAACCAATTTTTTACCAGCCCAACAAAAAAAATCCGATAAACGATTCAGATTAAGTCAACTAAAATGGACTGATGAGATTGTTTTTGTAGAGTATAAAAACCGAAAATATCGGAACCTAGGTTTCATTTCCTTCACCGCTCGAACACATTACCCTTTCTTCGTCATCTTTTTTCTACAAAATGTTATGTTTGCATTTTTTTTTCTTTTTTCTTGTGATCGAATCAATATATGTTTTTGATATTTCTGTTGGTCTTCATAGAATATATATATTTATTTATTTATTTAGCAAAAAAATTTCGTCTGGAGATGTAGTTTTTTATGTTGAATCTTGAAGTTTTTGCACGCATTTTTTTGATTTTGTTACGATTCTTATGAGTATTCTAAAGAATCCTTCGTCGCTGTGTCCGATATATATTTTGGTACTTTACTTTTAGAGTTTTTATGCTCGATTTATGTAGTTTTATATGTTCGTTTTTTTGGGTTCTTAGGCATATTTAACAAAATCCTTCATATATGAGTGTTATTTGTTTAAATCTTTGGCGGATTTTGAATTTTTTGTACAGAAGGTCCCCGTTCCGATTTGGTTTTTAAAACCTTGATGACCGTAATGTTGAAGTGAACTACCTCGGAGCTTCACATTGCCAAACATTCAATAGCAATAAAAGGTACCTTTTCAGTTTAATTTTAATTATGAAATTTAGAACATAATTAGGGTTTTTTGTGCCTTATATCATATTTGGTAGCTTTGTTTGAAAATGAAATGGGATTTGCATGTTGGTTATAGCGCTGTGTTCCATTAAATCATGTGAATTTTTAATTAATTTGTCAAAAAATGTAAAAGTTGTGTGTTATTATTTTGTGTTTGTATAATGTTTCAGATGATTGATTTGGTGTCTTGTGCGAAAATTTTTATTTTCCAAAAAAACAAATGTCTAAAAATATGAAAGGAACGTATTTTTCAAAAATAAATAAATAAATAAATAAATAAAAATTATTTCTTCTGTATATATGTCCATTGCAAATGGAGCTGAAAGAGTCATTGTTGACAATTCTCCTGGCATAGTGCTAATAATGGACTATATCAAAATGGCTCAATTAAATTCTAGTGCTTCTTCTATTAGTGAAGTTTCTAGAAAAAAAAAAATATATCAAACGGCGCAATGCACCTTGGGTCGCTACGGAAACAGCCTCCTTGTATAATTACAAGGGTAAGGTCTGCGTACAACTGACCCCCCAGACCCCAACCTGTTGGGAATAAACTGGGTATGTTGTTGTTGTTGTTGAATAGAAATTACGAATAACCTATTAGACACATTCATAATGCTAGACTTAAAAAAAAAAATAGGAGCTAAAACTCAGAGGTATCAACACGGCATGTTATTCTAAAAAATTCAAGAAATGCTCAATAGCAAAAGTAAATCCCACATACAATGCGAATTTAACATAAGAATTAAGATCCTCAACCAAATATATACAACAAATGCAGCTAAATCTGGTAAGTTACTGCAGTAATAAAAAACAAGCACCAAGAAAAAGCCCAGCCGAACGAAGAACTGACGTGATATTCCATCATAATAAAAAAAAGGCTCAAAATAGACCCAGCTCAGCTTAAATACTTGTAAAAAAACGCCAATAATTTGCAGATGAATCAAATCAGCATCAAACTCTAACAAACACAAGAACACATGCCAAGAAAAAGTCAAAATCTCAACAAACATGGCGAAGCGCAACAGATCTGTAATTGCATAAAAATTACGTCCTCCAAGCCAGAATTGTAATAGAAACGCAGCTGAATTACGAATGATCAGATATATCAACAGCAGTAATGAAAGTTTTGCAGGATCTACAAAAGCCGCTCTCAAAAGAATTTGAATTGATAAGCTATCGAATAACAATCGAAACCTATAACAGCGATAAAGTACAGGATTATTCCCTCACCCCTCACCCAGTTGACTGAAACTCAACTACTCGGTGATTTTCAGAAAAGAAGTATTTTTTGTTGTGACACGGCAACAATTCCAGCTATCGGAAAAGATTATCCGACCTAATCGCCGTCCTCCGCGATCGCATTCAAACCACCGATCAACAATTCTACTACATAGTCGGGCAATTGATTTTAGGTTTGCAATTAATTGGTCTTTGGTGGGTACCTACGTCGTCGTTTCGCGTTGAATACTTTCGACTTTCTAGTTTTTATTGGCTCGAGCCAGTAACTCAACGCGCAGCCGAGATTAATCGGGATATATAATTTAATAAAAAAAACATACAAGGAAATTATAGATTTGTTATTTTGTTGTTCAAACGACCTCGACTTAGTTGAACGTCTTTTGATATGTTCACTAAAATTTGTCTATTAACTAAAATTTGTCTATTAACTAAAATTTTAGTGAACATGTCAAAAGACGTTCAACCAAGTCGAGGTCGTTTGAACAACAAAATAACAAATCTATAATTTCCTTGTATGTTTTTTTTTTAAATTATATATCCCGATTAATCTCGGCCGCGCGTTGAGTTACTGGCTCGAGCCAATAAAAACTACGAAAGTCGAAAGTATTCAACGCGAAACGACGACGTAGGTACCCACCAAAGACCAATTAATTGCAAACCTAAAATCAATTGCCCGACTATGCAGTAGAATTGTTGATCGGTGGTCTGAATGCGATCGCGGAGGACGGCGATTAGGTCGGATAATCTTTTCCGATAGCTGGAATTGTTGCCGTGTCACAACAAAAAATACTTCTTTTCTGAAAATCACCGAGTAGTTCATTCGAGATTTTCCACGAGTTTCAAGATTCAGAAATCCGGTTTCAGTCGACTGGGTGAGGGAATAATCCTGTACTTTATCGCTGTTATGGGTTTCGATTGTTATTCGATAGCTTATCAATTCGAATTCTTTTGAGAGGGGCTTTTGTAGATCATGCAAAACTTTCATTACTGCTGTTATATCTGATCATTCGTAATTCAGCTGCGTTTCTATTACAATTCTGGCTTGGAGGACGTAATTTTTATGCAATTACAGATCTGTTGCGCTTCGCCATGTTTGTTGAGATTTTGACTTTTTCTTGGCATGTGTTTGTTAGAGTTTGATGCTGATTTGATTCATCTGCAAATTATTGGCGTTTTTTTACAAGTATTTAAGCTGAGCTGGGTCTATTTTGAGCCTTTTTTTTATTATGATGGAATATCACGTCAGTTCTTCGTTCGGCAGGGCTTTTTCTTGGTGCTTGTTTTTTATTACTGCAGTTACTTACCAGATTTAGCTGCATTTGTTGTAAATATTTGGTTGAGGGTCTTAATTCTTATGTTAAATTCGCATTGTATGTGGGATTTACTTTTGCTATTGAGCATTTCTTGAATTTTTTAGAATAACATGTCGTGTTGATACCTCTGAGTTTTAGCTCCTATTTTTTTTTTGAAGTCTAGCATTATGAATGTGTCTAATAGGTTATTCGTAATTTCTATTCAACAACAACATACCCAGTATATTCCCAACAGGTTGGGGTCTGGGGGGTCAGTTGTACGCAGACCTTACCCTTGTAATTATACAAGGAGGCTGTTTCCGTAGCGACCCAAGGTGCATTGCGCCGTTTGATATATTTTTTTTCTAGAAACTTCACTAATAGAAGAAGCACTAGAATTTAATTGAGCCATTTTGATCTAGTCCATAAAAGAAAATGAAAAGCTCTTTCTGGATGTTCATTGATGGTGATTGGATCTTTGTAGAGATGGCAGATTGTTATTTTCCTGTTCTGTTTAAAGTCCTCTGTGGTTTTGATTGCTTCAAATTTACTCTGCAAATCCTAAAGCCAGTAATTGGAGATGAATTTTGATTGTGCATAAAATGAACCACTTCAAAATTAGATATGGTTATTCGAAGAACATTGGGATATTGATTGTATGGATGATTACCTTATTGGTTTAGTGAAGGACTTATTAATGAAAATTCTCTCTTACCTTTTTCATCAGCCAATGGCATCTTCTGGAGACTCCTGGGTAAGGGAATATAATGAAGCAGTCAGACTTTCTGATGACATCACGAACATGATATCTGAAAGGAACTCGCTGCCAGCATCTGGGCCAGAAGCCCAACGGCATGCATCTTCTATTCGGAGGAAAATAACCATACTGGGAACTAGACTGGACAGCCTACAATCTCTTCTATCAAAGCTTCCTGGCAAGCAATCTTTGTGAGCTATCCAACATCTCTCCTGTAAAGATTAAACATGCTATTAGATTGGAATGATAAACTAGTTGTCATATTTCCTCATTTGTCCATTATTGCGTTTTACATTGGTTAGATATGCTTTAGACCCTAATCACTTCAATATCTGCCTCAATTACTTTCCTTTATGCCATTCGCACCTGAAGTTAGTCTTGTTGAACACAAAGTTTGGAGGAAGAATTGATATATCTGAGATACTGAATGGAAATAAGATAACAATGTAATAGTTGAAGTTGATGTGACACGGAAGTAGTAAAATAGTGTTTTGTTGTTAGAATAATAGTTAGTTTATTGAGGAATGTGTAGTAATGATTGGATTTGATTTGAAGTTGTGTTGATGAGATTGAGACAGAAAATTATTGAGGAATGTGGAGTAATGATTAATTTTTTCAAGTTGTGTTGATGAGGTTGAGGAGAAAAAGGTGAGAATGAATGACTAGTGTGCCTTTTCAGTTTTTTTTTTTGTATCCAATCATGACTTCAACGAAAAAATTTAGCTAATGATATGAAACTGAAAATTTCTTATATCCAGTAGCTGCTGCAAGCTCTCAATTGTTCATTTATGCTTTGTTTGCCCATTTTTAGATCTCACAAGTACTCTTCTTCATTTTGATGTTTCCGCTTGTAGATATTGAAAATCACTAATTGACAACCTTGCTGAGCTCTCTTCTCAAATTTCATATTTTATATCTTTATAAGTAAATGGACATCCTTTCAGTAAAATGTTTGATTGAGTGAACCTTTGTTTGTTGCTTGTCGAGCTAAATTCCTTGTGCTCTCTTTTATACCTGCTCCATTCCATTTACAGGTCAGAGAAAGAAATGAATCGTCGTAGAGACATGGTTTCTAATTTGAGATCAAAAGTGAACCAGATGGCTTCCACTTTGAACATGTCAAATTTTGCGAATAGGGACAGTTTACTTGGCCCTGAGATAAAGCCTGTTGATGCAATGAGCAGAATTAGTGGCCTTGACAACCATGGTGTTGTTGGTCTCCAAAGACAAGTCATGAAAGGCTAGTTGCTGGGAGACAACTCTTGACTTCATTTGATTTTTTTTTTTTTTCATATTTATTATTTTTGACAATTTTCAGTTTCTTTTTCCCACTTTTTGCTACAATTCCCTGCAGAACAAGATGAGGGTCTTGAGAAACTGGAGGAAACAGTGATAAGCACCAAACACATTGCACTGGCAGTAAATGAAGAGCTTGATTTACATACAAGATTAATTGTGGGTTTGCCTTTTTTTCTTTTCTTTCATATTTTTGTATGCTCTGTAATCTGATAATGTCTATTCTCAATAGTGTTCTGTAAATCCTTAGATGCATTGATAATGTAGCTTTTTATCTGCCTATGTGCAGGATAATCTAGATGAACATGTCGAGGTCACAGACTCCAGATTGCAGGTGACTGTTGCTTTTGATAAAGTTTTCAAAGGATAGTATATTGCATTTGAGTTCTGCTTTTTGGTATAATCTTTTAATCACTGTAGATTTTACAACATGATAACATTCAGCTTTGAGGGTGCAGAAACCATGCCATGCTTTTAGAAGAAGCAATCCTATAGAAACTAAAACAGTTGGAAGTCATGAGTTAGATATGCTTGAATAGATGCTAAAAGCTGAAAGTATGAGATGAAGGAGTTTATTTATTTTTCAAAATCTGGATAAAAAGGAAAAAGAACATGCTGCAATTATATGTCTATGCGGGAAGGGAAACAACAGTTTTGGGTTATGATAGACGTCTTTAGATAAGAATCTTGGAGATAAACTTCGATTTTTTATTTTTTGTAAAGCACTTCACTATAGTTAGAAGCTTTGCATTTGTATCGTTGATTATGTGTAAATAATAAGAGAGGGTGTGCAAATTTATTAAAAAACTTATATTTCTAGCTAAAAGCTGAGAAGCACCACTACCCAGTGTCATATCTTTGCAAATACTCTTCCCCCATAAGAAAATTAATTATTAAAGCAAGAACTATAGACGGTTCTCTGTTTGAAGAACCCAAATCCCGAAATGAACTACTGTACTTTGGAACGTAGAACACACTTGTTTAATGTGTTTCTTACCAATGTATCGAGAAGGATATCTTGTGAAAGTCGACCGAATAATTCAGCACCTGTTTATTGGGAATTTTTCCAAAATTGATTCTTAGTTTGTGGTTTTGTCTAATCGAGCAGCGAGTACAGAGGAGGCTTGCAATATTGAACAAGAGGACTAAGGGTGGCTGCTCCTGCTTGTGCCTCCTCCTATCTGTCATAGGGATTGTGGTTTTGGTTGCCATCATATATTTGTTGGTCAAATATTTGTAATTTAAGAAAGGTTAAGTTCAAACTTCCTCGTGTGCTTTTGTTTTTATGGATTTATATAATTATGTTGGTATAAAGAAGAGCTAAAGGCAGGACAGGTAATGCCGTGTATTTGCTTTCACAAGGATTGATGGATTTCCAGATTGTTTGTCATGTATATAATTACATGATTTGGTTTGGTGCAAAATTGTACTTAATATTATTAGAATCTTTTCTGCCTTGAAGAGAACTTATGTTGATGGTTGACGATATTGGTATACCTCTATGTCAACTCGTTTTATTTTTTATTCGGATTTTATGTCAAATGTAAGTCATTTTATGGATTTGTCTTGATTTAGTCATGTAAAAGTGGATATAGGCTCACGCGTATTTGAAATCCAAAGAGACTAGTGTCTCTGTTGGCTTTCTTTTGGATGTACGAAAACTGTGTAGAAGAACCGCTGTGAATTGTACATGGGCTATTGCTCATTGTACAGATTACACTTTAAAATGCTCTCAAAAGAAATAAGAAAAGTAATGGTGATGATAACAATAAAATCAAAACTAAAATGTGCATTTGGTGGATAAAGAAAAAGGGAGTTGAACAGGACTCAACAATCATGCCAACATAATGATTCATGTAATTATAGGGCAAGCAAATAAAAATTAACACACTTAGTTGTCATAATCATTTATTACACTGTGTCTGGCGACTATAACTTGAAACAATTAGTATTAATTATTAATTATTAGTTATTATTACAAACAACAAATCTAAAACTACTTGTATGATACCAAATGTAGACAAGAATTTTGAGTTGGCACAATTAGTGAAGCTCAATCGAATTATACTATGTTTTGTTCTTGCATGTAATTAGTTCCCAACGTGTATGTAAATCTTGCTATATTACTCCAAAAACTCTCATTCTTCAATTTCATTTGAGATTTTTTCACAAATTATTGTTCATAAATACTTTTTTTCCATGGGAAATTATCTCTCTCAATTTTCGTCGTTTCTTTCTTTCTATAATTTTTATTAGTTATTAGTTATAGATCCAATAAGAGGAGAGGAAGAGGGCAAAGGAGTAGACGATTCGTTGCATTCCGCTAGCGTAAAGTGACATATATAGTTGGCTCTACATTTATTTCTCAATTCTCATCTTTTAACCGTCTGTCACCTTTCTGTTTTAATAATTAAAATGAGTTTTACAGGGTGTCATGGTTTGAATATCCAACGTAGTTCATGTGAGTGTTATGTACACCTCTATGTAGACTATTATGTACCTATAACATTTCCCATTCCAATAATAGTTTTTCCAAAGGTGAGAAGTATGGCCGAAAAAAAAAAATCTAACAAAAATTATATTTTTCAACAAAAATTGCTACAACAACAAACCGTGAAAATATCCATTGAAATCATCAAATTTCATGGAAGTTCATTTCTAACGAAATATTTGTGTTGATTTTTATTGGAATTTTTATAAAGAACTATACTATTAAAATATCTAGTAAAATTATTATTTATTGTTGAATTTTTCATTGGACATTGATCGATTGCCGACGAATCTTCTATCTAAAATTGATAACATTATATCTTATTTTGTTCAACGAAATTTCATCATGGATTTCAAAAGCCTCAAATTAGTTTTAACTTTCAATTAAAATTCATCATTATTTGAGTTAGGATAGGATATTTTTAATTATAGAACACGAATTGTCAAGTACCTGTATTTTTTAGTGCAACTTATAAATTTTACATGATACATTTTAATAAACAAAAAAAAAAAAAAATTAAAATTTAACTCAACTTTAACCAAACCCCAATATCTTTAATATTATTCATATAATTAAATTATACAAACCATTCATTCTTACACATCAAATCAATTTTAATTCACTATTCATCCACTCACATAATTTTAACTACCTATCATTTCCAATCATTTATCTCATACTTTTACATCAAATCAATTTTAATCATTTTATTTTAAATATTATTTTAATACATTCTTAAAATTTCACTAACAACTAACCATATCATTTTTTTCACATAATTTTAACTACCTATCATTTCCAATCATTTATCTCCTACTTTTACATCAAATCAATTTTAATCATTTTATTTTAAATATTATTATACATTCTTAAAATTTAACTAACAACTAACCATATCAATTTTTTCAAAATTAACTATGGTTAATTAAAATAACTCATTTTGAACAAATCTATATATATATAAAGAGGTTGTTGGAAAGTACATTAATAGAAAGTTTGACCTAATAAATAAAACAATTGACTTACTATAAATGGAAAGTTCGAAAAAATACATGTGAATCTTTAGTAACAAAATCTTAATCCTATTTTTTTGGTAACTAGTTTGGAGATTCTTATGGCAAAATTTGAATCCCATTTTTTCGCATCATATTTATTTTTTTTTACCAAAATTTAAATCATATATTTTGGTAACAAATTTGGAGATTCTTATGCAAAAAATGTGTCAATTATTTATGAAAACAATTTAATACAAATTAACTTAAAAACCGTACAAATTGGATACGAATTTAGGAAACAAATAGTTCTATAATTATTAACCAATTCTTCCAATCTTATTGAATAATTTTTTTTTTAAAAAAAAATGTGTAAATTGGATAAAACCACGTGCAATTTTTATTTTAGAATAAAACTGATATTTGGACGGGATGTACATTCAAAACTGTGTCCACATTTTTGGTAACAAAAACGGTTCATCTTTGATATTTAAAGTCACATTATCCAATTATTTAGGAAAAATTGTGTGCAACTTTTCAAAATTTAATTGCATCGATTTTTTTGGATTCTTATGTTTTTTCTTAACCATGTTTTACCGAGATTTTGGTAAGTTCAGATCATTTTTTTTTTGTTAAGTTCATATCATTTTCTTTAGAAAAGAGACAGTTGCATAAACATTAACAAATTGTTTCAATTTTTTATTAAAATTATTTTCAATTCAATTAGTTTGGTAAAAAAATCGGTGCAGTGTTAGAAAAATTCGGTTGCATTTTTAGGAAAAAATAATAATTTTTTTATTTGGTTTACAAAAATATTCGGATCAATTTGTTTGATAAAAAATCAGTTTATTGGTAGGAAAATCGGTTTCATTGTCAGGAGTAAATAATGATTCTTTTTGATATATATAAAAAAGTTGTTGGAAAAATACTTAAATAGAATATTTGACTTATTAATTAATTTGTTTGACTTACTAATTTAGGAAAATTTGTTAAAAAGCACGTGCAATTTGAGTAAAAAAATGAGATTTAAAAGCAATATTCGAATCAATTTCCTAACAAAAAAACCCGGGAGGATGATGTTGAATTGTGGATGAGGATAATATCAATTGATTCTTTCCGAATTGAAAGGTCACATGTGAAATATATACAGCAAGGATATTTAGTTTATTAGTTACTTAGGGAGCATGATTGTAGGAGACCAAAATATATCAATGTAAATGTAATATCAAGCCATATAAAACAAGTTTCGTTATAAGTAATTTAAACATTTTTTGTACGCTTTAAATTATTATATATAATAAATCCTTTGTTTTTTTATATATTAATAGATACTACCTTCTTTTTTTTTAAAATGTCATTTAGACTTTATTAACAATTAACCAAATAAATGACGTTTTGGATCTTTTGTATATATTTTTTCCTTATTACCCCAATCTAGCTAATAAATACACTACATCTTTTCATATTTATTCTTTATCTTTTCTCAAAACATTCATCTCTATCCTCATTAATGAGGGTAATTATTGACAAAAAAGATTCTTAATTACTGGGCAACTTTTCAAAACGATACTTATTAAAAAAAGGAGGGAGTATTATATATGTACTTATATATCTATATATATATATATATATTGAAAGAGGTTGATTAAAAAATCATTTATAGAAACTTCATAAAAAATTTGAGTCAAAACCTTTGACTTAATTATTTTGGAAATTCAATTTAATACTATAAAATAACAATAGGGATTTACTTTAAGTTGAAAGAAAGTTCTCGCCTAAAAATTTAGATTTTACTACAATTGATAACTTTTTTAAAATTCTTTGAAAAATTGGTAGTTGATTTGTAATTTGAATTTTAGGGTCGACGTTGGATGTGGCTGAGTCTATCAATGAATACATGACATCATTGAATTTGTTGGATGGTCGTATGTACTTGAGTTCTGACTGTACATGCAAATCGGATTCTAATAATGATTTTTTGTCTGATCTCCGTACGCCTGAGTTTTTGAATAGTATCAAGTGTTCCGGAATACCGAACCATGAGTTGTATTTGAAAATTGAAACTCCGGTCATGTTGCGGAACATGGATCATTCTATGGGTTTGTGTAATGGGACACGATTGGTTGTGACAAATCTATCCAGTCATGTTCTTGAGTGTGAGATACTCACAAGAGATCATGTTGGTGATAAGGTGTTGATTCCAAGAATGGTCATAACTCCTTCTGATGTTAGAATTCCTTTCAAGTTCCAGCAGCGACATTATGGTTTCTTGCGCCATGACTATAAGCAAGAGTTAGGGACAATCTTTATCTCATGTTTGCTTATTTCTTAAGAAACCAGTGTTCAGTCATGACCAGCTATATGTTATTGTCTCACATGTCACTAACCGAAAATGTTTGAAAATCTTAATTTTTGGCGAAGATGACACGCCAATGAATTAAACCAATGATGTTGTATATAGGGAAGTGTTCAATAATATATGATCTTTTCAGTCTAATTATATGTTTATATGTCTATTCTTATGATCATGATCATTGCATTTATTACATAATTTATATACAAAAGTGCATCCTAAAAAGTGTATAGATAATAATTTCCCCGTGCATCGCACGGGTGATTACTAGTTATTACATAAACAAGCGCTCCTCAATCACACTTTACTACTTAAACAGTTAAACTAGCAATTACAGCCAAATTGTCGTTGTAATTCAAACTGAAAACCTCTCATAAAAATGAATTCCCGAAATATACTACAACACTCGTCCCTTATCTACCCAGAAACCCTTTTATATGATTCTAAAGAATTCAACCAATTTTGACGCGATAAATCCATATCTAATCTGGGTTTATCTTCAATCATCTCATGGCAAGCTCCATTTTCCCTTTTCTGCCGCTTCTTTTACTCGCCATTTGGTGTGGCTATGCTCAATCCCACGAAGATGGGCACATCGCGGCAGAAATATCGAACAAGGGCCTCGATTTTCTCAAGGGTTTGCTGATAGAAAAAGCTGAATCTTCGCTAGTCCCTCTCGAGCTGCCCGTCATTGAGAAGACCGTGAAAATCCCAGTTTTAGGTAAAGTTCAGATGGTCCTTTCCGATATTACTATCGAGAAGATCCACACAACGTCTTCAGTTGTAAAAACTGGGGATAGTGGGATAGTTATTGAAGTTTCTGGTGCCACCGCGAATTTGAGTATGAATTGGAAGTATTCGTACACTAGTACTTGGTTGATTCCAATTTCGGTATCTGATAAAGGAAATGCTACTGTTCAGGTGACTTTTCTGCATCCTATTTTACTTGGTAGGTTGGGTGCTATTGGCTTTCGTGGGAGTGTAGTTTGTATCAATAGGAAAACTGCTATCTTTTTGTGTATTTTGCTGTGGAAATGGAAAAAAGTTGATTAGAAAGTTTCAAGGTCTTTGACTATTAAGGGAGTGTTCGGAAAAACTTCAGCTTTTACAGTTGGTGATTTGTTGCGGCAAATATGAAAAGTAGTTGGAATTTAGTGGCAGGTAACGTTTGAATAACTGAAGTTTATGTTCAATATTTCGGTTAAAGGAGCTGAGTGAATATGTTACAATAAGGGGATATCTTTATGTGAAAAATCAAATTAGAAGCTCGATCAGAAATCTATATAGCCCATCAGTTCTTTTCTCTTAGATTCTATTAAAGTGTACAGAATTCTGGTAACGCTATAAACTACTCTCTTTATTGAAACAAAAAGGTGAAATTACTCAAATTAAAGTGTGTGCTAAGATAAGTTAATAGTCAGGGCTTAGGGGAATTATTTTTGTTCATGAACTGCTGGTTCTGAACAGGCAACCTAAATCAGTAAAAGACTATCCATGCGTGTGTTCTTTTTAGCTAATTGTGCAATTTATTGCAGCTGAATTTGAATTGAATTATTCGACTGTCACACGATGAGAAAATGCTTACTGTTGTATATTAAGAATATCAGCTTTATTCTGATACATATCTAGGGATTTCTGTTATAATTGGCTAGCATAGCTGATCTTGAAAAGGTGTGCTATTTTTCTTGACTATGCTATCTGGTCTCTGCAGTTAGGTAGTTAGTTATGTATTTGAAAACCTCTGTAGAATACCTACATTTTTTGACGTAAAATCTGTTAAGAGTTATTTTTTTAAAATAAATATTGGGGGCTGGCAGGGAATGGGGTGGGGGAAGGTGTTGATTGGGGGTCTAAGTTTCTAAAAAAACTGCAAGGTATAGGGATTAAACCCTATATCACCCTCATAAAGGGTGAGAGGTATCACTTAAGCTACAAATTGATGGTATTTTTGTTAATAATTGTGTATAACATGCTAAATTTTACCATCATATGCATTTCAAGTGCAAAGGAATATACATACATTTACTGTGGAGGGATGAGTGTTTCATCTATGAGAAGTTTTATTACAGTAGGAATTATAATTTTTACTACAACAGATTTTTATGTGCTTTTTGTTTTTTAGTTTGTTTGGAGGGGTGTGTGTGGTCATGTTGATTCCATGAGAAGAGACTTTTTTAACTGCCATGATTCCTGAATGAAAAAAAGTACTCTTTTTTAACTGCCATGATTCCATGAGAAAAGAATACAAAATTGGCTCTGTTTATTGTGAAGTGCTATCATCTCAAACCTATTAACCACTAAGCAAATAATAAACATTGCTTCTTTTCAGGTTGAAGGACTTGAAGTTGGCCTTTCACTCAGTCTAAAGACTGTTGAAGGGTCTCTAAAGCTGTCTCTCTTGGAATGTGGATGCTATGTTAATAGTATCTCTATAAAATTGGATGGAGGAGCCTCATGGCTTTATCAAGGGTATCTTTTCCTTTGCTACTTCT